TATATATATATATTAATAGTATTCTACTATCCTATTGTTACACTTACACTTTGGCACCCTAGTTTTTTAAAATGATAAAGTAAGTCCATGTTACCAACTACAAGTGCAAACCAAATATTTGAACTAACACTTCCTTTGATATGATCTTTTGTTGGGTGGTGGGTGGTGGGTGCATAAAATCAATCAAGAAAAAACTCCTAACTGAAGGCCATGCATGCAAGTCAATTGAGGCAGAAATTATATTAATTTTGATATAAGTATGATGTTTGACTTCAGTAGCTTGAAAGAGTAGAACTCTTAGTTCTTTTATTTGGAGAAAAATTGACTTTTGATTTGTCAACCATTTAACTCTAGATAATTGGATGGTTTCAACTACTATAATAAATAGTAAGTCGAAAAGAAAAAGTCCAACCCGAATATCCAATTTAATATCGGATTGAAATTCATGAGATCCTTTCTTTCTATTTGACTTATAGAATGTAAACTAAGCATCATATTTGTTCGGAATTTTTAAAGGCATTTGAATCACAAGGTGAAGTAATACAATTAAGTATTTGCTTTGACATTTGAAATTAAATTCGTTTTTTTTTTTTTTCACGTTTACAAATAACATTATAGAAGGTATTATGTACGGAAATGAAACATAATACCAATGGTCAGATCAACAAACATATCTTGTAGTTATCGGTGTCAATTCTGAGAGTTATATATATAATTTGACATCCGAAGAGGTCGAAAGGCTGTACAAGAGTGTGTCAATACTTATTTTAAGATGTATAGTGTTTGACTAAAAGAAATACATATGTAATTTCCCTTGGGTCCTCTCGCGCATGCACATTATCTTAGTTTTAATACTATCTTATAATTATACATTACAATATTCCTTCTAAACCTTTTGTTATCCCTTTTGCTAACCGTTAAAGAATCAAGAAATAGTTTTAGAAACCTTGAAGTACAACGCTTAATACATTAGTATTGAAAGCTTACTTAAGACTCGAAAATTTTCATGTTCCATTCAGTAACCATTTGACCAAAACTGTCTCAATATGATGATCTATGATTGGTCATAGTTGTGTAACAACCACCAACGTCTTTCATCATTATTAGCATTTTATGACAAATTAACACAATATGTATGTAAAGAAAAAAAATGCGTAAAACTTGAATAAGCAAAACAAGATTCTAACCTCTTAAGTTTTAACACGTGGACAATAATGGTAATATTAATCATAGCAAAATGAATATTAGAGGAAAAGAGAACCTACAATTTTTTTTTTCACAATGGCAACAATTAAATTAAAATTTAGAATCTTGTAAATACCATCCAAATCTTCACCACTAGACCTATCCTAATCATTCTCACATTAATTAGTGGGTGTTTAATCAAATGACACAAATTGCTTTCATATCTTTTGCTAGATTTATGGCTACAGGTAACCATGGTTAAGGTCAGACTGGTTTTCAAGTTATAAGCAATAACATGTATAATGCATCCTCATTCCTCATTTTGACTTCACAATTCACGATATCTTGAATCGTCCAACGTAAACATATTCTAACTAGAGTTTTAGCATACCTTTACAACTTTCCAATTGAACAGAAATTATAAATACTGCTCCATGTCCCACCCTTAACATCCGGTTCACCTCTATCAAAATATGTTACTAATGCTGTAATGCATAACTTATATGAGCTTATTTTGTATAAAACAACCATAAGGCTGGTTAAGAATGTCTGAATTTATATTTGAAATGGTCGAGACAAGACAGCTAATCCAATTAAGAGAACAATATTTAAATCTGAATCTGCAATTACATTCCAAGTGGACACCAAAACTGAGGACAAAGAGCAAAATGGCTGACTAGGATTTTATGTAACACGTCACTGTCTTAGGCATTCAGATGAAAAATTATCAACAAACTACTTGTATGTTTGCCAAAACAGCGACTGGTCCAAATAAAGAAGCCAAACAGATAAGCAGCAGTAACCAGCAATATTAAAAATGGGAGTCACTGAACATCTCCGAACTTTAAGAGCACTCCATGGCAAATTTATTCGTCATTTAGAAGCAGCTCATCCCCTGGACCCCTTTGCACTAGTCTGTAATACAATATACCCATAGTTGCCATGCAAGCCCTGAAAATGGATCATATTAACTTCATCAGTCAAAGACTAGCAGTATATGCCACAACTGAGGCTCCATATAATTCAGTTTTATATACAAGGTAGAGGGAATTAGAGCATCATCATTGTGCTGAGATAACTCCCTTTTCTTCTGAGGACTGATCAACATATATATGTTAGATAACATGGGGTTAAGTGTTAACTTAATTTAAAGCATACTACAATTTACTTTAAGTCTGGGATATATGCTACTTGTTGTAATTAAATCCCAGCTCATAACAACCCAGTTATTACCCTAGACATCACTCCTCGTAAGGAATCATCAGTGGCCCAAACATAATTTCAGTTGCCCAAATTTCAGATCCCAGATTTTTCATCCTTTTTACCCTAGTGCATTCTCTACTCTGGATTATTATATATTATACATGAAGAGAAGCAAGAGCAATACATAATAGCAATCAGGAGAAGAATTTTTCTTGGGTCCATCCTAGATGATCTTTGATGCCGTGTACGGCCTTCTGAGGTTTCGGTTGCATTTGATGCTTCTTTCCTTGGAGGTGCAGTCACTGGTAGAGTGGGTAAAGCAGGAGACCAGAAAGGAAGCAAAGCTCTAAGAAACTTATGGTGGAATGGACCTACACTTTCAAAGATGCAAGTTTGAATTAACAAATTTGAACTAGACAAGGTTCGGTACAAAAGAGCAGAGAAAGACATGTCAAGTATTAATCACAATTTTAAAATATTCAAAAATATTTAACAAGACAATATCACCTCGTTTTGTGTACTTTTTACGATTTCCATCTTCATCGTCAGCATAGTAAGAAATTTCAGAATTCTGTCGTTCAACGTGGACTGAGCCCTTCCTTGTGGTGGCACCGGGCTAAATTATTTGCAATAAGAATAAAATTACATAAGATAAAATACATGAAAGAAGATACAATTTGCAATGTAATAAAAAGAGAAAATTCAGGCGTACTTATTAAAGTTCAAGAGGACAGATAAATGCAAACAAAATAAAAGTGCACTGAAAATATCCTCTTACAACAACAGGACTTGAGCTTTTCATGAAATTTCCTCCTGAATTAGCACCATCTATCTCCACAATATCTGTCACTGAAATTTTAGGTAGTTCTGACCCAGTTGCAAGTGATCCATCAACCGAGTCTGAGTTTCCATGATTTTCCCTATTAACCAATGGATCTGAAGCAAAAGCAGGTGGAGGACTTCGTGATTCTGTCACTGGCAATGAAACTGGATGATTTCCAAAAACATTCTTTTCCATACCAGACTGCACAAAAACAGATAAAAACTAATGAAATTTTTTTTATATAACGAGGAGAAAACCGGTGAGGAAAATAACTTTAGGTGCCAAGATAATATCACCAACAACAAAAAAATGGAAGTGTGCATTTCTATAATTATTAAGAAAAAGGCATTTTTTTTCCGCAGTGATAATCAACAATTTACCACCATAATTATCCATCAGCGGTACAGTACAATGATGCTTTTAATGTATTTCCCAGATGAATCATAACCCTTAAAATCATCCCGTCTACAGTGGTCATAAAGTCGCTGAACAAAAATTAGATGGGCTTGAAAAAGAAACTAGTAATATTAAAGTATATGCATAGCCCATGCATTTGCAATAACAAATTATTCTGTTTGTTTCATTAGTTCAATTAGCCTTGACACCAAAAAATGTTGACATTCCACACAATACTATTTCATTGTCCTCAGCAAAGAATGATGATTGACAAAGACCCGGGACAACAGAGATCTTCTTAACAATAAAAATTCTACCAATACCATTGTCAAGTCCCAATTCATTCATAGTCTATATTTCATAATGCATAACTGTGGCAATGGAATTCTCATTCTGAAAAATATGGCAATAAAAGAAACTGGTCTATGAGGACAAGCTTGTTCTAGTTTTTGTATGTCAAGAAATATACCCTACTATAATTTCAAACTAGTATAAAAGTGAGCCCATCATATACTACCCATTTCATAAATTACCTGCATGATTGCTTCCTTCAACTTGGAATGAAGACGGGATCCCGAATCTTTCACACTTTTGGGAGGCCATATCTGTACGAGATATTTCATCAAATGAGACATAGAAAATATAGGGAGAATTTTTTCCATAATAGTGTCTGTCTGAAGTACGTTTTAAAAGGTGAAAAACATAATTTCAATAATAGTTCAACAAGTCAGATGTAAGTAGTTAATACATAATAGAGTATCTATTTCCAAATCATACTATAATTCTACTCCACTAAGCAACTACTTTTATGACAACCGACAAGGTACCCCCTAAGACAAGCAATTAAATAGTGGTTTTAAAACAAGGTCTATTGAATTGAGAAATTGAGAATTGAGAATTTTTTTTTTAAAAAGAATAAATAAAATGGAGAAAAGAAAGAAAAAAAAAAGGTTGGGAATAGCATGTCATTTCCTTTTCCCTATTTGTACACATAGTTCTAGCACCTAAAACACCATGAATCCAACTTTGCTTTTTCACATAGCTATGCAAAATCAACAGACAAAATTTCAGTACTAAGATGAATCATAGGTCTAAGGTTTTAAAGGAGACACTAATAATTGCCTCTCTGGAGTTTCTATCTACTCTCAATGATAATGAAATTAAAAAGAAAGAAAAAAGTGCATAAGGATGTTGAACATACTAGACAGAAACCACATACTGGCTTTCAGTTAAAACCATATACATTAGTAAACTACTTTCAATCAAGAATTTTTTCTTTACTTAAAGAACAAAGAAATGCATTTGTAGGTAAATCTTACCGAAGTAGTACATGAAGGACATGCATATCCTGCTGGGGCAGTATGTGTAGGAAAACTCTTGATATGTGAGACCAAGCAATTTGTGTGGATAACATCTGTATACAAAATTTAAATTTATAATATGTAACAAGTGCAAGTTCAGCTGAATTCATTTAAAAGGAACACATGCAAAATCACATACGCAAGCAACCCAGTCGAGTTGTTTGAGAACCATCCCCCTCTTCTAAAACAGCCTGGCACTGGCAGCATTTTGGGGGCCAATCATACTCCCCATCTATAACCCATTCTGAATAAGTCCGGACCTATGAAAGATGACAAAACAAACTAAGCTTAACCACAAAGAATCTACAGCCTGATACATCAATATTGGACAAATCACAAGACCACGAGACATGATCCCCAATAAAAATCAAGCCAAAACTATAACCAAATAGAAGTCTTGGACCAAGAAACAATGAAAAAATTCAATGCATTAAATGATAACAAAAATCAACAATACTAAAAAGCGAAACTAAAAACCAGGCCCAATAGATTGAAAGTGAATAATAATAATATAAGATAGAAATTGAAGAAAAAAAGTTACCACGCAGATTTGGTGCTCCGGGAAGCAGATACATTCCCCGCAGACAGGAACTTTGTGCACGAAACAATATAACTTAGTAGCCTAAAAGAGACAACACAGCATTAGCACTAATTCAAAGCAACAAAATGGGAAGCAACTAGCATGGTTCCCCAAAATAATGAAGAAATGGAAATGACACCAAGACTAATCACTTGTATTGTATCAATTCTAGGTTCAAGTCCAAGCACTTGTTTCCACCACCCATGTGCATAAAAAATAAAAAAATAAACACAAAAACTAAATCACACAAAATGCAAGGGCGCGTAGATCACCCGCGGTTGATCTGAATTGAAAATACGAATCGGATCTCATCTGCATGCCCAGCTAACAAATCAAGCGTGATTGGGCAAATGCAAATCAGGGTTTTGTAAAGAAAAAGAAAAAGGCGCGAACTGTAAGCGAGGAAAGAGAAGAGAGCGGAACCTTGCGACATTTGCAGACCACCATTGCATTGAGGGGTATAACTCAATCGAATCTGATATGATTCAGAAAAAATTCAGGAGGATTTGAAAGGGGAATCGGAAGCGAATAGCATGATCAGATAATCGTAATCAGGGAAATGAAAATTTTGGGTGTTGATTCCCTGAGATTGTTGTTTGTGTTGTGTTGATAATAGCCTCAGCTCACTCTGCCAAACAAAACCCCCCCTTCTACGTTTGCAATTGAGATCCGTTTGAGTTTTTCTTTTTTCTTTTTTCTTCTTTTTTTATTTTTCCTTCTGTTAATTAATTGTTTCCAGAACGGGTGAAGAAAATAAATAAATAAATAAATAAATGAAAACTTTAACGGGCCGGGTTAGTTATATGGGCCACAGTCTTCGTTACCGGGCCTGTAAAGTTACAAATAAATTAACAAAAGCACATGGAAGTTATTGTGACGTCATCTTCTGCTTGAATAGAAATTGATACGGTTATAGTCTATAGATGGTGAGAGTTTGGAAGATATAATCCGTGATTCTGAATTAAAGTATTAAACGCCTTTTGTCCGTTGAGTTGAAATATTTGAATATAGGGTTTAGGGTTTCACGTCAATGGCATCCGCGACGGGGCGAGAGTTGTCGAATCCTCCGTCGGACGGCATCAGCAACCTGCGGTTCTCGAATCACAGCGATCACTTACTTGTGTCCTCATGGGACAAGGTATCATTTCTCTTTCGCACTTTTCATTCACTTGTTATCTATGCATTCATTCACTCACTATTTGGATCCTTCGCTTCAGAGCGTGCGTTTGTACGATGCCAGCGCCAATGTGTTGAGAGGAGAGTTCATGCACTCTGGTCCTGTCCTCGATTGCTGCTTCCACGACGATTCCTCCGGCTTCAGTGCCGCCGCCGACAACACTGTTAGAAGGCTGTTGTTCAGCTCCAATAAAGAGGATATTCTTGGAAGGCATGATGCGGCTGTGAGATGTATTGAGTACTCATATGCTGCAGGTCAATTGATCACTGGTAGTTGGGACAAAACCCTCAAATGTTGGGACCCTAGAGGCGCAAGTGCCCAAGACCGCACACTCGTTGGAACATATCCCCAGCCTGAGCGTGTTTACTCCCTCTCTCTCGTTGGACACCGTCTCGTTGTAGCAACAGCTGGAAGACATGTTAACATCTATGATTTGAGGAACATGTCTCAACCTGAGCAGAGAAGAGAATCTTCATTGAAATATCAAACCAGATCTGTGCGCTGTTACCCAAATGGAACTGGATATGCACTTAGTTCTGTTGAAGGCCGGGTTGCCATGGAATTCTTTGACCTCTCAGAGGCTAGCCAGGCAAAAAAGTAAATACTTATTTGTGTTTTCCCTTCTTAATACTTGTTATATGGATGTTTTCAATTTGTCCATATGAGAAGTGGGATGTATTTCATCAACTTCTAGCTGTTAATGATTTCTGACCTTTGTGCAGATATGCTTTTAAGTGTCACAGAAAATCAGAGGCTGGAAGGGACATCGTCTATCCTGTGAATGCAATTGCATTCCACCCCATGTAAGCGTTTTAGATTTTAGAGTGCTCTGTCTCCTTGATTATATCGTCTCCTTAAATAACGAGGCACTTTCTGAAGAGGATTTTGAATTGCCTTTGCTTAACTGTTTCTCTACTATTTACAGTGTCAATTGTTGTTCCTTCTATCATTCATGGGTCCAGTTGAGAATATTAATATAAACTACTATAAATAAAGTTTTCTTGGTTTAGTACACATTGTCATCCAAAATAGAACGCTATAGATGTTTTTTCACAGTTTCAGTGGGGGTTATAAATACATGGAAGTTGTAGATGAGACAGAGTTCTGTGTTACATCTGTCCAGAATCTTTAGTAAATTATACTTTCTTGTGTTCCCTCTCTGTTCCTCCTTCTCTCTAATGCCTAATCCCTTAAATTTCAAGAGCTCCAAAGATGAAATGCAGTGATTAACTAACCTTTAAATGAAATTTAGAATTAGACGACCCCTATATTAACTTGATTGTGACAATCAAAATGCTTTATAAAAATATGTCTGTGCAGATATGGAACGTTTGCCACAGGAGGCTGCGACGGGTATGTTAACGTGTGGGACGGAAACAATAAGAAGAGGCTATACCAGGTTTTTTTTTTCATTTCTGCTTTGAGTAATTGAGTGACATGAATTTTCATATAGTAATAAATTCAATTGCTAAATTGCCGTTTTATCTTCCAGTACTCCAAATATCCTACTAGCATTGCAGCACTTTCGTTTAGTAGAGATGGACGCCTCTTGGCTGTTGCATCGAGTTACACATTCGAAGAAGGGCCTAAAGCGTAAGCTCTCTCTCTCTCTCACACACACACTCTATTTCTCGTATACATGCAAGGCTAGGTTTATTTAACTTGCTCATTTCTTATACAGCCACGAACAAGATGCTATCTTCGCTCGCAGTGTAAACGAGATTGAGGTCAAGCCGAAGCCCAAAGTCTATGCCAATCCTCCAGCGTGATTCCTGGTAGCCATTTCGAAAATAGGGATTTCTTCAATTTTTCTTGGAAGATTTTTCACTTCACTTCCCCTCTTGTGAATGTCAAAAACATGTAAATTACTTATGTGAAGCACTAGCTTATTTCTAGATACAAGTTGCGGTCAGAACAGAAATAGCCTTTGTTCGTCCAGATTTTCTTCAAATTGTGCACTTCGTACAAGTATATCTATTGTAAAGTATAAATTGAAATTGATAAGCCAAGGACAATCTTAAGCGTTGTGCTTCATTTTTTCAACTAATCACTGAAAAAAAAAAAAAAAAAAAGAATTGTCATGTCCTGACCAATTAATTCTTTATAGCTCAATGGCACTATAGTTGTATTCAATATAGTGTACCAAGTGCAGCGTAATTGTTACTTTAGAAGAATAGCTTGGGATCAAATGGCCAAGAAATGTCAAAGCAAAAAAATTTAAACACCCGATCTCAACGGTTTTGGAACCCTTCTAACTTTGACTTCTATGCAGTCACTTTTATAAAGTCAATGTCAACTACCATTGTGTAAACATGCTGTTTCTTTGAATCGACATATTCCTATCGGGAGAGACCGTTCAATATTGGGTTACGATCAAAATCTCATTTAAAATGAAATGAAACTCTAGCGTATAAAATTAAGTCCATCACATTGGTAACGGTTCAATATTTACAACTTTTGAATCCTGATTCATTTTTTAAGTTGTTGAAACTATTTCAAAGTATAATAAAAATTGAACAAGTAACCCAAGAGCCAAAGATACAGACTTCATACACTATCCAGAGAAAATTTCTACTTGGTCTTGAAATAAGAAGATAGCTGCTTGGCCTTTATAATAGGCGTTAACTTAAATTCAACCCACGAGCTGATTGGTACTTTAAATGCATTGGATGCGGCGCTGAATGAGTGGTCTTAAGTTTCGTGTGATTTACCTAAACCCTGAAGGAGCCACTTGAGGATTGCCACCGGCTTGTCTCCTCTGAGCTCTTGATTGAGCAAGCATGTCATCATAATTCTGGTCCAGACAGTAATCATAAGTATGCATATGTTTAAAGAGAATAACCATTAATAGCATAAATAGCAATAATTATTACCCGTTTCTCAAATGTAACATCCCTTGAATCAATTGTTTTGTCAGCAATTCCGTAGTCTATAGCTTCCTGTGCTTGAAAATATTTAGGCCTCTGGACATCTTTAGTAATTTCTTCCTTTGATTTCCCTATCCCTTTTGCTAACAGCTCAATGTAATACTCGGTATTTGCCTCTAACTCTTTTGCCTGTATGTGTTTTGCCAACATAACTGGTAATGTCTAAAACAATAACTGAGATGCAATATAATGAAGAGAACAAACAGGTAGACAGTACCTTAATCCACATGTCTACAACAGCACCACTTGATCTGTTGACTTTTGGGAGATATAATTTTGCTGCAATAGTAATCAACACCAGTTTAGAATCCACAGTAGTAATCGAGGGCAAAGCTCGAAAATCATAGTTTAAACATCCACATATTTTACATAATCTACACAATACATACAAGCAGTTACGTTTCCACCTTTTCAATACTCAAAACTATCAACTGACAAGGAAGAAATATCCTAACTCGAGAAATTTCTGAATATCCTAATCCTATTGTAATATCTTTGGGTTAAATATGTTTTTAGTTCCTCAAATTTAGGGTAAATCTGTTTTTGGTCTCTCAAATTTAAAATTGTTGCTTTTAGTCCCTGTAATTTCAAAAAATCTTATTTTAATCCTTATATTCAAATTTTGTTAAGAAATTTATCAAACATTATTGCATAAAATCTACCTATTAGTATTTCTATTAGTGAAAATGTCACATTAAATTTGATTGATATTTCATAACTGTCTTAATTAGTCACTTTTAAATATGTTATTGGTGACCTAAAGGACTAAAACAAGATTTTTGAAAATTATAGGGACTAGAAACAACAGTTTTAAATTTGAGAGACCAAAAACAAATTCATCTTCAATTTGAGGGACTAAAAACATATTTAAGCCAGTATTGGAGGGGGACAAGAAACTTTATAACTGATGAAGAACACTTTTTATGCAATCCAATCAAGAGTCAAGACGAATTTCAATTTGTTTTCCAAATCAAGAGTAAAGATAATGGCTTCTGATTGTGCTCTGGAAGTAAATGATATGAAATCCACACATAAACAGTAAAAAAAACATAGCTAATAATTGGGTTGGAAATAAAAGAAAATCAGATCCAATTCTGCTCTGAAAATAAATATGAAACCAACACGTGAACAGAAAAAAAAAACATAAGTAATAAGTCGGTCTGCTGTAACAGACTTTCATTCCATGGTCATGTAGACCATGAATGTGTACAAAGTACTGCACAAGTTGATAGCATTACATAAAGATCAAAACTCTTTCATTTGTTCCTTGAAAATTGGGATTTCTTTTACTTTTGAATGGTGGCAATCCAACAGTTTCAGTTCACAAATCATAACTCTACCGTCCTTGCCCTATGGCTCCTGAAGAACTAGAATTTGATAAATTGATCTTCCCAAAAATACTTCTTAACAAGCATATCAGTGGCCTTTTGATTAAAAGGTGTAATATGTGATGACAACTAGATGATTGGGAAATTACAAACCAGTATTCCGTTGTCCATTCTTCAAATATGTTCATGAATGAGATACTATGTACAAGACATAGAAGGAAGCATTAATCGGAAGTTCCAAAAGGCCACAACAAACAAGTGAAAGCAATCAAGCAAAAAAAAAATTTTCAAAAGTTTGCATAGATATGATTCGTACTAGATGAATTTGGCTGCACAGCACGATAACCCTTTGCTCCAAGCGACAGAAGCATTGCTGCTTGACCATATGCCATGCCACAATTCACGGTATAGACATCTGCTTTGACATACTTCAGGAAGAAAGAAAAAAGATTAAATAAAAGCAAGAGTTACAAACGATTGGTTCAAAGATATAAACGAAATCCCAGCCTTGGGGCATAGGAGTTGCACATGATTCATGATAACAACTTACAGACATCATATCAGCTATGGAATATGCCTCAGTTTCTGATCCCACGGTCTCATTCTTCTCATTCTAAACAGAAAAAAAAAAGGGAAAGGAGAAACAATTATATAAATCAAAACCTCATACATTACAGGAGAGAATTTAGAACAATGGCCATAACACTTGCCTGAGTTCCAGATGAATTAATATATAAGTAAATAGGTTTGGTAGGGTTATCATAATCCAACCACATAAATTGAGCAACAAGAAGTTCTGTCACGGCTGGTACAATCTGTACAAATAACAAAGCCTTAAAGAGGAATACCACGAAGATTGGGATAAAAGATAGTAGGTACATATCCATATACAGAAGTTAGTGAGGGGAAAAACAGGAGCTATCAGGATGATGCTTACCGGCATACCCAAATAGCATATTCTAGCATCCAAGAGCAAAGAAGGCAGATCTGGTGGCGCAGTTCTTGGCCTTCCAGCTCCCCTACCTCCTCCTCGGTACATACTAACACTCATGCTGTATTTTGAAGCATCATTTTTTCCCATGGTAGATAGACTCCACATTCCACCATGATCCATATAATTCTTGGCAGACGAGATGCTTTCCTGTAATTAAAATTAAGAAAACTTATGAGCATCTAATACTCTGGTAAAATTGGGTGCTTTGAAAAATCAACTCCACGATCAATAATCAGGCTATAGATAGGTAATTTTGCTATATAGACAGTATCAAGGATATATATGGTCAGAACCTCTGTAACTCTTTCAGTCTGCTGGCGGATAGGATTATCTTCAGTCATGAACATGTCCATTTGTGAAGGAGAAAGGCCATATAGATATTGAGGTGCATTCTTGTAGTTTTCCATCACTGCACAAATAGAAAAGCTAGAAATCAAGGTTGGGCACCAAATCTTTAAACTTTTCAATTGAACTTGAATAATAAGTTAAGAAGCTTTTTATATAAAAAATAAATAAAAATAAAATAAAAATCATTTGGATAATTTATGCTCAACCAAGAAAATTTCATCCAAATTAATTTTAGAGCACCAATTTGAAACCTTATGTTTCATAAACAAATATTACCCCTTTGTTTTCCTAGAAGACTTAGAATTAGAAATACCAAGAGTGTAATAAATTAGTCAAAATTGACAATAAAGATACTTAGATGCACAGTTATCTTCTATTCTTCTTACACAAAAAACTTCACATGGTCTTTATCTATGCTGTGCCTTTAAATCTTTAAAATCAGAACTCGTAGTGTGTCTTTATTTTCTTTTCCTACAATTTATGCACATAATTCACAATCTCTCCTACTAATACATTTCAAAACACAAATCTAAATGCATCCTGTCAAATTTATTTCAGTTTAGGAGAATGCATTGTTACTAAATTTAAGGAGCTAATATTCATGCCTCTGAAACTTGGCAGTGTAAATTATCGGGCTACCGTGTTAGTAGACTAAAATTTGTTTGGAGTATGGGCAAAAACTTCATGGAGGTAAAGTGTAATTTAATCCAAGTATTTAAACCTTTTTAAGACGGCAAATAACCAAACGCATATATACTCACTCAACAAGAAATGCACCCAAAAGAAAACTTAAGGGGGGCACAAACAATGATTATGACAAAGCAAACACTAAAGAGTAAAGAACACTACGTTTCACGCCCATCAAATAATTCAGTTTCAAACAAACACCAAAATTGATTGAAGAGACTCTGCAGCACACATAATCAGATAATATAGTCCTCAATCACATAGAAAGCACTTAAATATTTCAGACCCAGACTAAAAAATTTCTACTTTTTAAAATTTTTCTACTCTAATTTTCCTCAAAAACCACATAATTGAAATTTTTTGGGGGGCTAAACTAAACGAAAAGAGTAAATTAGTATTAGACACTATACAAAGGAAAAGAAACTGAAGGTGGAAAAACTAACATCCATCTTTGAGATTTTCCTTCCTGAACTGTTTGGGGATGTGGTCGAGGGAGCACTTGACAGAGGAAGAGTTGAAGCAGCGCGGTGCCGCTCGGCGAGAAGCGGGAAAGAGCTTGGTTCCATGGAGGAAGGAGGAATCGTGAATGGAGGGCGCAGAGAGCGATAAAGAGAGAGAGGAGGACATGGGTACACGAAATTGGAAACAAAGTTACAAAAGTTGATGTGAAGGGTACCAAAAATGAGGTTTTTGTTCCAAGTGCGAGGAAGATAGGACATAGGAGTACCAGAACCAGAAGCCACTATCCACTTCCTGCGCTAACCGGGTTCGGGTATGCTATTCGGATAACAGTACAACTTTTTTTTTATACTGATAAATAATTATTCTAAAAGTTATTATTGTTATTTTTATTAAATTATAATTTATAACCTATACCTTTGAGTTATACCCTTAAGTTATAAAGAAAAAAAATTATAAAATTATGAATATTTTTTTACACCAAAATTATGAACTTTTTAGTAGCTATTATTTTCTTTCACATATAATCAGAAACTTGAAAGAAAAAAAAAACTACCTATTTCTATTATTAGTATAGATTTTATTTTTAAATAAATATTAGTGTCTCTATTTTCTTAATATATATAATGTCGATAATTTGATTAATGTACATACTACTTTGAACTGTTTTATTTTTATAATAACTTTTAAATTATTATTTTTCATTATTATTTTTTTTTGTTCGTCCCTAGAGTATTCATTGCCGACAGCAATAACTTATTTTTCATTATTTGTCTTTCATTATTTTTTATTTATTTTTATTTTTATTTTTGATAAATCTCTGACTAACTAATAACTACCTTTATTGTGTTATTCCAAATTTTAATTTTTTTAGTGGTGTGTAGTGTTTACATACATTGAAAAGAAAAACAATTAAATATAAATTGTTTAAAAATAACTAAATACATAATATAACCATACAAAATTATGAGTTATTCTTAGACATTATTATACATTAAAAAAATAAATTAATAATTATGACATATTAAAAGAAGTTCATATTGAAGATTTTATGGTTTAATTTTAAGATTTTAATAAAATAAGATATGTCATGATTTAAGAAATAAAATATAATTAATAAATAAATAAATAAAAACAACTTTTATTTATTTATAATTTTACATTAACATTTATAAAAATTTATACTGAGAGGAAAAAAAGGAAAAAGTGAATAATATATAATATTTTTTTACATTTAATACTAATAATTTATTTTTATAAAATTATGGATAAATTTTTGTTGATGAGTGAAAAAAATAATTATTAATTATTTATTTATAATTAATTTATTTTTTCTTTAATTATATAATTTTTTTTATATCATATAGATTAAATAAAAATAATAATTTAATATTCCTCCACCAATAGAGTCTTGAGCGGTCGTCGTGTGACCATGGTTACCATTATGTGTGAAAGAAGATGGTACTCAATTCAAATTTATTTTGCAAAACTAAAATATTTCAAAATGGTATACTCTTAATCAAGTCCACAAAAAATCAATATATGGGGTCTCGTCATAAAAGTCCACGAATGTTTGTCTTGTTTTGTTTCGGTCCAGAGGAGCCCACCAACTTTGCATCACATATATAGGAAGCCCATTGGAATCGTGAATTGAAGTTTCACAAGCCCATCTAAAAGGGTTATCCGAAGAGAAGAGAACGTGAATTTTTATTTGAGGCATGAGCATATTTAATTCTTAAAATAATAAATAAAAATATTTTAAAAAGACAAACCATAAATTTATAATTATAAATTAGAAAAATATATTAAAATAGTAACAAAATCGATCTCTCTAATTTATAAAATTAATTGTTTAATACAGTTAGTGATGTAATTTTACTCTCACATACCCTTTATATTAAAGGAGATAAACCTTGCATATCTAATACTGACATTTATTTCAGGCACACACACACGTACACTAGCCGTGTTAGCATACAAAATGTCTTGATTGTAACCATTTAAGTGTGTGGGACAAAATTCATGATATTTTGTAAATTGAAAAACAAAATTTATAAAAAGATATTTTGAAAAATAGAATTTGTGAAATTGTATTACTTTGAGAGTAAAAACTATAATTAAACCTAAACTTTTTCATTAAATATGAATATAAATTCCTGATGAAAATTTTTAATGTTTAAAAATAGACCCAAAAACAGCTAATTAAGAACAGCATCTTAACTAAACCACACTTTCAACACCTCAAATGGCTTTTATCAGAAAAAATATTTTTCTTGTGATGAATAAACTCCGTTCCCAGTTCCCATAGTTAAAAAAAAAAAAAGTAAAAGATGAGTGAGAATTGAGAGAAAATGTATGGAAGTTATTTTGGGATAAAAAATAAATCTCCTAAAAAAGAAGGAAAGTGTGAAAATTTTGATGAGATAGAATAGTAATAACAAGTAAATAAAATAATACTAATAATAATAAATAATGAATATAATACTAATAATAATAAATAGTGAAAATAATACTAAAAATAATAAACAATTTTCATTTATATTTCAAAATAAATTTATTTATGAATATCATATTTGTTTTTAAAAATATAGTAAAAAATTATGTTTAAATAAATTATTTATAAAAATATATATATATATTTATTTATTTAAATAATAATATATTTATTTTCAAACAAAATTATCCATAACAATACTCAACTTCCATTATATTTCTTTCTATTTTTGACTTACCAAATAACTTTTATTTTTTCTATTTTTTTAACACTTCGTCACACTTCTCTTTTTTTGTTTTCTCCTTGTTTATTTCCTCTTACTAAATAGTATTGAGATAAAATATTTTTAATTACTGTTAAATTAATTTGTTCTACTTACTTTCTCTTGTATCAAATCACTTCATTCTAATATTGGAGTAATTAGAAGCATTGAGACCTAAATTCAATATTCATCACATCCTTATAATGTTTCTTATCATTACAAAAAGAAATTACTTCATTCTACTATTATGTGAAAGATCTTCCACCTTGCAATATCGTCGATTTTTGTTAGCACATTGCTGATATGTTCAAAAAATAAAAATAAAAAACAAATTGATAATTTTATATTATTTTAATAGATAAATTAAAATTATTGTCTCTCATATTTTTTTAAATTAAAAATATATATACGAAAACGAATAAAATTAATGATGAAAACGAATTTTAATATGATAATAACAAAAAAATTATTTAAAACTATTTTATATACGAAAGCAACATCTAATGAGTTATAAATAAATGTCATAAAATATAGTCTTGGTATATTTTTTTTTTTAAGGTCAGTGTGGGCACGGCCAGTTGAAGTAATTAGTGATTAGCATGATATGATGATGTTTGTCGGTTATCCTGAACACGTGGAAGCATGTGATTGAGAGTTGAAGAGCTACGTGTCACCAATTAGAAGAACTTATCTGCGTTGCGTGTCAATATACCAAACCCTTTTTTATTGCGTCGGTGAAGCAACTACCCTCTCCCCCGCTGCCACACTCCACTCTTCACTCACTATCACCTCTATATTAAATCACACACACGCCTTTCCTTCTTCTTTTTTTTTTTTTTTTCCTTATCCTTCTAGAATATATATATATGCCCACAATCATTTTTTTTAATTTCCTCAATTTAATCATGCCAAATTTTTATGATGTGATATTTTCCTTTTTCTAACATCATTGTATCATAATTAGTTGATAGAAGTAATAATTACCTAGTTCGTATACTCATGACTTGTTAAAAGTAGTGATTACTTAGTTCATGTATTCATGACTTTTGGTGTAATTAGGTATTGATTTAGAGGATATTTAGATATAAGATAAACATGTTTTGAGAATTTTTTATTAAAAATAAAAAATTAACAGAGAAACTCTAAAAACTTGTTTTTAAGCTAGTATCTAAAAAGATTCTTAAGTGAGACTTAACTTCAAATATCATGCATAGAGAGTAAAAAGAATCCACTAAATATCACAAATTAGACTTGTTCACAAAAACTAATTATTAGTAAAGTTACATAAACTTCTAATTAAGTAAAAAATTTTAATTTTAAAGTTAACTTTTCTATATTATAAATATTTTTAATTCAAGTAAAGATATATCTCTCGTAAATGATAGGGTTCGCTGATTATGTATCATTAATATAAAATTATTTTATATTTTCAGTCAATCATATATAATAAATTATAATATGCATGCATAGCTTTTAAATACTTTTATAAAAATCAATAAATTTATTATACACTACTTATTAAAATTGAACTCTAAATATTAGTTTATTTGCTAGTGTTATTTTTTCGTTATTATTTGACTTTGTTCCGCCACAGAAAGCGAGAACTACCTCTAGATAACCTTGTTAGTGGGTATTCATGTCCAGGACACCCAAGACTATAACTTGGTGTCTCAACCCTAGGGATTCCCTTATATACCAAAGTTCTATCTTGAACATATATTCTTGACTTCTTGTCACACTCCTGCAAACCAGGGCATGCACTATCATTATTTCAAAAGATCGTTCCTGCATGATATTGATGCCATAGTAGCTATTTGATATTTAATTATAATGCGGTCACCTACCCACCCAATTGAGTTCTAATCAGAATTTCGGTCGATGGTAATTGGTAAATCTACACGGTATAGATTTTAATTGTTTATCCTTTTACAAGACAGAATAGTTGAGATAATAGAGAAAATAATTAAGAAATCAAGCAAACAACTAATTAAGGTTTATTATTCCAAAAGTACTTTAAATATTTATTCTCATTGATCTTTTTCTTCGGTAATAAATAATTTTTCAGTTGACTATACTGCGACTGTAAAGCTTTCCAGTATTTTTTTATTAAAAGTACATTAAAAAATAAAAATACCTTAAAATTTACTTTTTGAATACTTATTTTTAAAATTCATAGTTAGTAAATAAATAAAGTATTAGTAAGTATTAATTTGCGGCGATGAGGAAAATAAAAGTAGTAGTACTAAGAAAAAGGAGTTGATATATTGAAAAGTCATAACTACAGGTGGCACGTGGTGAAATAATGGTTTGCGAACTGTATGCCAAGTGCCAACAAACGAAAAAACGATCTCTGATTGCAGTGGAAGTGGTTGCCCAAACCACGAAAGTTGAAACCCAAGAGAAGAGAACAGCATTCATACCCTCGCCAAACCTTGTATTTATCGCCACGAGGCATCTAATCTACTTCACGTACATTTTCGTTTTTTTCTTTTTCAAAAATAAATAAAATTCAGTCAAATAAGTTTTTTTTCTTTCTTCTTCTTCTTCTTCCTTATCTGAAAAACAGTCAAATATGTAATTTAGCATGATTCCTTTAGAATCACATTCCATTTTTGTATCTGCGCTAGCTCTACAGTCTACATACAACCACGATAAGGATGTAAAGCGATGTGCATGCATATGCATGTGTGCTTTCGTAAAGAGAAATGACACTTGCTTTTAATTTTAACAAATATTTTAAACGTTTCCTTAAGTATTACATAAAAACACGATTCATATATTAAAATTCAAATATAAAAAGCTATGTTGAATGATTGACAATTCACCAAAAAAGAAACGTGATTGTAATTAAGAAAGTGATCAGATATATATTGCAGAAATGAAGTGTTGAAGGTTAAACATAACCGCGTTAGCATGAATTAATTTATGATGATAAAGAAGTAAATACTAAATTACTAGGTAGAATGGTTGTGAACAAGTGATGAGAGGTTACGTTGAGATTTAAAAGAAGTAAAAAGGGTAAAAGGGCAGAAGCGAAGATTGACACGTTTTATAATTATAATAATCGAAATGGAGTTATAGAATGAGTATCGTGTTTTAGACGCAGCGTGGAAAGTGTGAGCGGCAAAAGCATAGACAGAGTCACAGAGGATGATTCGAGATTGGGAGAAGAGGAGTGTTGGTATGGTACGTATGAGCATTCCCTTAGAGTGGGGGTTAATGAAAAGTGAAAAGGGTAAAGATAGCGCAGACGTGTTACGTAACGTAGTTTTGACTTAGAAAAAGTCATGAAATGAAACCAGGTATCCTCTTCTACCCTCTTTAGTTGACCGACTTCGCTCTAACTCTAAAACCAAACCGAGTATCCCTATTCCCTAAATCCTATATATATATGGACACACACACCCACTTCCTCATAAGTCATATCCACTAACTCTTTATTTTTATAGTCTACACTCCACCAAGCTCAATCATTCGTCTTTCTTTCAATGGCTTTAGAGGCTTTGAATTCTCCAACACCACCCACCGCTCCCTTCCCTACCACTACCACCTACCAACAACAAGAGGAGGACCTTGATCTTCAATTCCGCGACCCTTGGGCTAAAAGAAAACGCTCTAAACGACCGCGTTTCGACACCGAAGAAGAGTACCTCGCTCTTTGCCTCATCATGCTCGCACAAGGCGGAAAAAACAACACCAACACCCAACCCTCACCGTCACCGCCACCGCCACCGCCGCTCAAACTAACTCACAGCTGCACCGTTTGCAACAAAGCCTTTCCTTCCTACCAAGCACTCGGCGGACACAAGGCCAGCCATCGTAAATCCTCCTCGGAACCCACCGCCACCGCCGCCGCCGCAGCCAACGACGGCGTTTCGGCCTCCACCACAGGCGGCGGAAGGATGCACGAGTGTTCCATCTGTCACAAGGCTTTCCCGACGGGTCAGGCTTTGGGCGGACACAAGCGCTGCCACTACGACGGCGGG